GCTTTCATGCCTAAGGCGGGACTAGAATTCACAGTCTCCTGGTGATTGACCCAAAGTCACCCAACTAGCTTTCATGCCTAAGGCGGGACTAGAATTCACAGTCTCCTGGTGATTGACCCAAAGTCACCCAACTAGCTTTCATGCCTAAGGCGGGACTAGAACTCCCCGTCTCCTGGTTTCTAAGCCAGCCCTTTAACCCCTACACCAGGGGTCTTCAAACTCAACAGCTTTAAGACTTGTGGTCTTCAACTCCCGGAATTCCTCCTCCAGCCATGTTAGCTCAGGAATTCTGGGAGTTGAAGTCCACCAGTCTTAAACTTGCCACGTTTGAAGACCCTTGCCTACACACAACCCCACTCTCTAAATTGCATGGCTCTGGGATGCCTTGCAATCCAATAAAAACCATATCATAATAAAAGAATAAAACCGAAAGGCAATAAATGCATTAAAATTATCCAAGAAAAGAGTTCAGATGGCAACATATGATTGCTAAGATGACTGACAGCTTTCCTCCAGAGGTTGTGGGGGCTTCATCCCTGGAGGCTTTCCAGAAGAGCCTGGACAGCCATTGGTCCGGAATGGTAGAGGGTCTTCCTGCTTGAGCAGGGGGTTGGACTAGATGACCTCCGAGGTCCCTTCCGATCCTTTGCTATTCTCTTATTCTGACCTTGAAAGTCGGACCGAGGCTCTCGACGCCTTCCTTAAAAGTACCGTTTGAAAAATAACCTGAGTTTGGCGTGATCTCTCTCTTTTTTTTCCGCTTTCCTGCCTCTGGGGGCAAAGGTCAAGGAATCTCTCGATTCCAGGAGATCCCGTTTGAGTTTGGGGAAAGTGACCCTCAACGTGCCGGAGAAGTTGAAGGGTTACGAAGAGCTGCTCGGAGGGGATCCCGGATCAGATTTTGTTGAGCCCAAAGGTAAGTTGAGCCCTGCTGCCGCTCATTGAGGGTGGGATGCCCCATTGGCTGGCATCGAAGGACTCCTTTTCGGAGTGGGGAGGGGTGGGGTGTACCTGCAGGGGTGGGCTTCAAAAATTTTAGCAACCGGTTCTCTGCCAGGTGGCTGGGTGGGCGTGCAAGGAGGGTTGTGTTGTGGTTCGCCGGCAGCCTGCGGAGATGGCAGCGGAATCGGACAGTGGGGAGAAGGTGCCAGAAGGTGAGAGCAACTGAGTCAAAAGGGGCAACTCAGGAGGAAGGCTTGGAGATGATTGGCTCTTCCCATAAGACATAAAGAAAGTGCAAAGGGACAGGAGCCTTTGCAGGAAGCAACTTTTGTTTGCTCTGTTTGGATTAATCCTTGAAGCCCTGTGTGGACTTTGTACTCCATTTGGCTTTTTACAGTCAATTTGGCGCTTTAGTTGCTGGCAGCAATTCAAAAGACATAAAGGTGGGTGCTTATCTCGAGGGACTATTTGGGACTCATTACAAGCTGGGAATGCACATAATTCCCAGCATTGAAATAAAAAGAGGGTTGTTTGGACTAAGCGTACGCTGAAATAACCATCTCATGAAGTTGGTCAGAACAGGTTGGAGGAGGAAGAGGAGGAGAGGAGAAGGAAGAGAAGAGGTGGAAGAGGAGGAGGAGGAGGAAGAAAAGAGGAGAAGAGGAAGAGGAGAAGAGGAGGAGGAGGAGGGAGAGAAGGAGAGGAGAAGGAAGAGAAGAGGAGGAGAAGAGGAGGAGGAAGAAGAAGAAAAGAGGAGAAGGAAGAGGAGGAGGAGGACAGTGGGGTCCTTGGTCCTCTCTGAGCTTGGTGATTTTGTTGAAGACGTTTCATGATCCAACTAGAGAACCTCATCAGTGCCTAGATGGGAGGGGGAGGTCTGCGGAGAGGAGGAGAAGGAAGGGGAGGACTGGAGGTTCCTGGGTGCACTCTTGGGTTTCTTTTCCCCTGCAGACCTTTCATCACCCTACTCGGTAACCTCATCAGGGCCAGACTTAGACTAGGACCAACTCGTGATTTCCCCTCCTAAATGACAACGGAGAAATCCGTGTTTTTCTTTCTCCGTTTGTGCCTCGAACCAGGAATCCAACAGAACGTCCAGGCTTTGGAGCAGGCCCTGCGCTATCCTCTGATTTACCGCGAAGGGAAAGCCAGGCTGGATCGCTACCAGAAACCTTACGTGTCCGCCAAAAAGAAGGTCAGGAGATCCAAGGAGATACTTTTGGGAGGCACGGGGGGTGTTGGGTGGGACGATTCCCATCCTGGATCCAGCCAATTTTCTTAGGCTTTAGTCTCCCTCTCGGGAAAAATGGCCGTAAATCATGCCGGTCATTATGCGGGACACCCCCGTGGTCATTAAGTAAACCTGCAGTCATTAAGCGTGGCAGGGCATCCTCAACTTACATCCATCATCGAAACCAGAATTTCTGGGGCTAAGCGACACAGTTTGTAAGTCACGCTAAATCTGAATTGTATAAGGTCTTTGCTTCAGCAGAGGGTTGGACTAGACGACCTCCAAGTCCCCTTCCAGTTCTGTTATTCTAGGTCAGAGGTCTCCAAACTTGGCAACTTTAAGACGTGTGGGCTTCAACTCCCAGAATTTCTCTTCCAGTAATGTTAGCTCAGCTGAAATCCACAAGTCTTAAAGTAGCCACGTTTGGGGACCCCTGTTTTATGTTATAAGAGAAGGAAGAAAGAAGGAAAGAGGGATACATGAGAAAGAAAAGGGAATGGAGGGAAGGAGGTAGGGTGGGAAGAAGGAAGGAAGAAAGGAAAGGAAAGGAAAGGAAAGGAAAGGAAAGGAAAGGAAAGGAAGGAAGGAAGGAAGGAAGATTCTATATTCTAAGCAGTGTTTCTCCGTCACTGGAGGTTTCCCAGAAGAAACTGGACAGCCATTTTGTCCAGAATGACAAAAGCTCTCCTGCATGAGCAGAGGGCTGGTCTAGAAGACCTTCAGGGACCCCTCCAAATCTGTTATTCTGTTGTATCATCATCATCTTATCATCTTCATCCCCACTATTATTCTAGTTCTCCCTGGGCCTGCATTTCCTATTATGAGTTTTCCCTCTCAGGGAGTGTTGAACGGACAGAGAGATACACACCTCTCACATAACTAAAAATAATAATAATGTCAGGGTTCCACAGTTCCCCCCATTTAAATCCTGAGTCTCGAGCCAAACTTCCAAAGGATTTATTGGGAGTTAAACTGTCCAGCACTGCCTGGGTGCAGCCGACTCTGAGACGCATCATTCACTGTTACCCTTGACCCAGGTTTTCCCCCAGCCCTCTGAGTGTATCGTAATTCATATCCTCCAATTGGACACCTCCATAGCCCAGAGTCATCCATCAGGCTCTCCAGTTAGAATTTTGCGGGGCAGAAACTTCAGTCACCTAGAAACTATCTTTGAAAACATTTATGGAATGCACTTTTGGTTTGCAAGCTGCTGCACTGCTCCCCAGTCCCTTTCTGTTGGCAACTCTAAAAAGACCAGAGAAATATTTTGTGAGTTGATATTCGGCTCCCCTCACTGAGTTCACAATGACCTTTTCTGCCACGATTGTTAAGCGAAACACTGCGGTCATAAGAGTGAGCCACACATTGTTAAGGGAATGTCGTAGATACATGCCCAGCGCCCACATTTTATCCCTATGACCGTGGAGATGCAGCAACGGTCGTAAGTGTGAGGACCAGTTGTTAAGTTGCTTTTTTCCCCTCAGTGCTAAGCGAACCGTTGTAAGTTAAGGACTACTTGTGTGGTATTTATGACAGTTTGTTAGCTTCTGCAAATGTTACAGGCAAATTACGGGTCTAGAAATGGAGAAACCAGACGGTGGGTGAAGGTGGAATTCATCCTCACTCACTGGCTTTCAATCTGCTTCCAACCGAATTACAGAGCTGGAAGGGACCTCGGTGGGCTGTGAGAAAATTTCGGTGGGCCGCAGAGAAATCTCACCCCCAGAGCACCCCCCCCAAAAGCAATTAATCCAGGCTGCGCAGAAACACAAGGCTGCGCCTCCCACATGGCCCGCGGGAACCCTCCCCTCTCAATCACTCCTTACCTGGCAAACTTGCCTGCTAAATTTCTGTTTTTCCTTTTTCCAACCATCATCTGTTCTGCTGTGCCAGGAGATTTAGATTAGCTAGGAAGCAGGAAATGGTTGGGTTTCTTGCTTTCTAGCTAGTCTTGAGATCTTCAGCTCTGCTTTTAAGCACAACCGAACCTCCCTTAGGACTGCAGGTTCTGCTATTCAGTGCAGACTCACCACAAGCACATTTTAAGTGACAGACTCAGGTAGCCGATGGCAGATAGATGGATCTCTGAATGAATCTGTGAGCAACTCAATCTGCCTGCCTGCTTTTGGGTAAAAGTTGCTCCTTTTTTAATAAAAAATTCAATATTTACATACGTGTTGTTTTGTGAGTTAATTGTTGAGTTTGCTTGCAAGCAGATTTTATGTCACAGACTGAGCTAGCTGATGGCAGATAGATAGATCTCTGAATGAATCTGTGATTCTGTGAGCAACTCAATCTGCCTGCCTGCTTTGCCTGATTTTGGGTAAAAGTTGCTCCTTTTTATAAAAAAAATTCAATGTTTATATAAATATTTATAATATTTACATACAAGCCATGCCCAGCCAGTCACATGACCACCAAGCCACACCCACAAATTAGGCCACGCCCACAGAAGCGGTTAGTGGTCCCTGGGATTTAAAATGATGAGTTTGGTGGTCCCCGAGGTCCAAAAGGTTGGCGACCCCTGATCTAGTCCAAACCCCCATCTCAAGCAGGCGACCCTATGTACCATTTCAGAGCAATGGGTTGTCCGATCTCTTCTGGAAAGCCTCCAGTGAGAATAGATTGCTTTATGGTAACCCCTGAGATATTGGAAGACTGCTATCACGTCTCCCCTCATCAGACAAGGAGCAATGGATGGAAACTGAGCCAAGGAGAGATTCAACCTGGAAATAAGGAGAAAGAGCAATTGACAGAACAATTCACCAGTGGAACAGCTTGCCACCAGAAGCTGCGGCTGCTCCATCCCTGGAGGCTTTCAAGAAGAGGCTGGACTGCCATGTTTCAGAAATGGTGTAGGGTCTCCTGCTTGGGCAGGGGGTTGGACTAGATGACCTGCAAGGTCCCTTTCAACTCTTGTTATTCTAAATATAAAGAACGGATGCAGGAACTGGGCCTGGCTGGTCTAGGGAAGAGAAGGACCAGGGGAGACAGGAGAGCATCTTCCAATAGTTGAGGGAGGGGCTGCCCCAGAGCGGAGGAAGGGGGTCAAGCTGTTTTCCAAGGCACCCAAAGGCCAGACAAGGAATAATAATGGATGGAAACTGAACAAGGAGAGATTCAACCTGGAAATAAGGAGGAATTTTCTGACAGTGAGAACCATCAACCCATGGAACAGAACTTTGCCTTTGTGGGAGCTTCATCCCTGGAGGCTTTCAAGAAGAGATTGGACTGCCCTCGGTCAGAAATGGTATAGGGTCTCCTGCTTGGGTGGGGGGTTGGACTGGATGACCTCCAAGGTCCCATTCAACTCTATTCTGATTGATTCAACCAAGAAATAAGGAGGAATTTTCTGACAGAACAATAAATCGATGGAACAGGAGTTGCCTTCAGAGGTTGTGGGAGCTTCATCCCTGGAGGCTTCCAAGAAGAGACTGGACTGCCACCTGTCAGAAAGGGTGTAGGGTCTCCTACTTTGGTGGGGGTTGGACTAGATGACCTTGAAGGTCCCTTCCAACTCTGATGGTCTGTTTATCCGTTAGTCCTTCTTTTCATTCCCCTAGACGTCCCCGATTCAACCTTACTTTGTTATTTCTTTTCACAGGTCTTGAGGATCCAGGCGCCGAAGCCTCGGAAGACCAGAATGGAACGGCTGGAAGAAATCCTGCTGGAGCTCCGGAAGCCCCGGAACGTTGTCCACGTCCCGCTAGGTAAGGGGGCTCACGTGCTCGGATGCGGCCCCAGAGCCCCTGAGAAGGGACCACCACCACCCCCTCCCTCCCCCCACAAGGCCGGTGGTCGATCCAGCGAGGGCTTTGGAAGAGATCTGGAAGATGGGAATGGCCCCAGGTCTACTTCAGGGAAAGGCAACAGCTGCCCTAGATTGGTTCACAAAGACAACCCAGAGGTGTGGAGGCCCAAAATGGCGGCAGGAATTGGGTTGGGGTCAAACTGGATATTTTTTTTGAGAGAGAGAGAACCGGGTCAGCATTGTAGTTCCCCTCCGCAGGCCGGCTGGTTGGGGTGGGTGGGGTGGGTGAGGGAGAGATGGGACAAAAATGGGGCGGGTGTGTGTGTGTTCTGACCCAAACCTGGTCCCCAGAGAGTAAACACAAGACAAAGCACAACCTTTTCATATTTCATTTACGCATCCCGTTCTTTCCCGGTAAAAAGGCTGCTTTCCACTAACGAGCTCCGACAAGAAAGAGTTTTTGCAAGGCTGCTAAGAACAGCGGATAAAGTTCCTAAACAATAAATCAAAGAGTCTCCAAACACCAACCAAGAGACTCCGAACATCCACAAGGCTTGAGTGCAAAAACGTCTTTGCTTCCTGCAAAGAACTCTGGGTTCTCAGCTGGCTTTTATCTCTTAAGGGAGGGGCCATTACCTTGCAGCCTTACTCCTGAGTCTCCCGTGCTGCTGCTCTTTCCTTCGAGCGGCCCTGCACACACACACACTGAGCACAGGCTCCTCGGGGGACTCTTCCTCACTGCTGCCAGCCTCCACCATCTCCGAAGGCCGCACTCCACTCCCTGATGGTCCTGGCCCCATCCCTGCATCCCACGCAGGCCCCTCACCTGAGTCCTCGCTCTCCCAGACCTCAGCCGTCTGCACCTGCTGCTGGTGAACCACAGGACCGGCCCACAGTGCCTCTGGCAGCCCCCCCCCCCCCCCTTTTTGGCCCCCAAAGCGCTCCGGGGGGCCCCCCGGGGGGGGGGGGGGGGGGGGGGGGGGGGGGGGAGTGCACCCATTTTGGCTGCCAGAGGCACCACGGACCAATCCTTTGCGACTTTCAGGCCGGCCCTGCGGCCCAGGCCTTGAATTCGACACCCCTGGTCTAGTCTAACAAAGAGAAGGACCAGGAGTGACAGGCTAGCAGTCTTCCAATATTGTGAGGGGCTGCCCCAAAGAAGAGGGGAGGGGGGTCCAGCTGTTCTCCAAAGTCCCTGAGGGACACAACGGGTGGAAACTAATCCAGGAGAGAAACAACCTTGAACTAAGGAGAAACAGATAATAAATAAATAGAAATAGATAGATAGAAAATAGAAGATAAATGATAGAAGATAAAAGATAGATAGAGATAGATAGATAGATATATCATCTATATATCATCTATCTTCTATTATCGATCTATCTATCTATCCATCTAT